CATTGGAAAGAAGAGATACCCTTCTTTTGAATCTTTTTCACACTTTAAGTTAGGAGGCAAGGTTCAATATCACCTGAATGTTAAGTTACCGCTATTTAAAAATAAGTGAAAAGTGCTGATGGCTGTCTGTGTACTGGTGCAGATGTGACATTTTTCATACACTGAAGCTACTGCTATAGAGTTTCTCAATAGATAACCTGATACTGCTTCTTCCTGGAGCCAGATGAATCAGCATTCAGTGTTTAATTACAAAAAGGCAGGTGCTCAAACTTTTGATCAGCAATAAGGAGTTTTAAGAAAGATAAAGCAAATCTCCCTGAGCCAAATGAAAACAATATGGAGCTTTTCTTATCTTTCTATACTACACTAATTAGTGATAGGTTAAAAAATGCAGTATGTTTATAAAAATCATGCTGCTTCCATAACGCCAATGCTTAGTAAATGTTAGCATATCAAAGGGAGGAAATCATTGCCATTTTAAAGTAATTTACTTAAAATTTCCAAAAAACAACCTACGAGAGAAATAGTACTTCTTAGACAAGTTATATATAAAAAGTTGCAAAAAATGTGTTGTAGTCACAACCCCATCTTTGGAGTAGTGCTTAGAAAATCCATTTTTAAAAAATGAATAAACACACAGCAAACATTTGTTTTATTTTCACCAAGTACATCCTCCCTTTTTAGAGCACAAATAATTGCTGGTTTAGGACTTAAATTTAAAAAACAAACAAACATGCAGAGTGCTACTCTTCATTGTGACTGTAGAAAAATTTAATGGAAGGAAACACAATGATCGTCATTAGGCAAAACTGCAGTAAATACATGCTCACCCTAACAACTATAATTTAGTCCAAAAGGAGTGAGCCACCCTCTACCCAAAGTCTAATAGCAAATGAGGGTGGGATTGAAAAGCTGCTAATATGTATGTTTTATCTTATTTTTTAGTATAGGTTGGATAATGCATTCTTTAAATTACCACATTAAAGATGTTTTAGAAACAAAATTTTACTTGATATTTTGACAAGTCGCTCCTACATCCCTTAGATTAATTTCTGTGGTAATTTTTACCTGACAAATCACTTTACTGCTATGGCTAAATCAACTAAATATTAGTTTACATAGTCTTGCTAAAAAATAATAAAAAAAAAGCAAGGACGTGCTTACTTATAAAGAACTTTTTTAAAAAATGGAAAAGAGCAATAATGTTCCAAATGAATGGCACTGGGCAAAAAATACATAGCAAAAATACTTAGACTGAATATCAGGTGCTCATTGGTTTACCTTATATGGCAAAAGTCTTGAGAAAGATTGAGAATATTATCCCTCCCTCTAAACGTTTAGCTTCTACATAATGTCAGATATTATAATTGGTATAAAGGATAAATGCTTTTAGGAAAAGTAAAAATCCGTGTACAAAGTAAATTAGCAATATCTGTAGTGACTTCAGTAAAATGCTCTCTTCTCTGGTGGTAACACCCTTTAGCACACAGACTGAGTTTTTTGAAATAGTAGCAATCCTTTCATATACTCTTACTAAATATTATAAAATTCCAAAAATACATAAATATTCCTGTACCATGCAATATGCACCAGTTGGGGGTTGAGTGATGAAACCATGGTTACTATTTTAACAGTTAAATATTGCACCTCAAAAGTCCTGCCATCTATACAAAGTGAATGGACACAATGGTGACGGCTCTAGAGAGATGGTAAACAACGTTCAATGTGATGAAGCGCCTCCAAATTAGAAGAGAGGAAGATATGAGGTAGAGGAGGTAGGCAGGGTAAAAAAAGTGTTAAAATAATACTGCTTAGGCATGTGTTTAAAGATAGCCACTATACCTTATCTAGCCTTTATGCTAATCTTAAATAACTGCCATGTTCATGCAAAATAAAATTCTACTTTATAGGAAGAGTAGCAGTCTGCCTGGAAAAGCACATTCTTGTCTGGAAGATTTAAAGACTTCTGTCTCATAAGTGCTGTTTTACTTGGTAAGTCTTTTGGCTACATCATTATATGCTATTTCAACTTCTTTATCACCGGGACAGGTATTAGTGAATGCATCTCTACTATAAGTATTAGCTAAGTATCTCTAGATGCTAGTCATTCTTTTTGAACTATCAAGGTTGTGATACTTCTTTGGCCACCACCTTGACAATGTGCAGTTTGAGCAGCAGGCTTCAATCAGCCAATGTCATTTAATTGCAATCAAAAAATTGACATGTGTATAGCAAGGACTCATGGACAAAACCAAAGGGGAAGAGCTGAGGGAGGGAAGATGGGACGGCGCAAGGGAAAGAGGTGGGGGGGAGGCAGAGACAAATGTATATAAAAAGTAAATAAATTAATTAATTAAAAAAAAACTTTAATAGTCTCTAAAAAAAAAAAAAGAAATTGACATGTGGAAAACTTAATGACCTCCATATTATTCTCATCAATTTTTATCAGGGAATGGAGAATTCAGAAATTTATCGAGTTTCTGCAGTGCTTTCAAGAGACTCCTCTCCAATGTTTCATTAGCTTCTGGCCTTGAATTCTTAGCATATGCGGAGAATTTGGCAAAGATATCCATTCCAGCAGTATTTGATTCTGGGTGTTTTGGAGAAAGCTTTAAGTACTTGGGAGGGCATAAGACTTCAAGAAATTCTTCAGTCTTATTTACATCTGTTTTGACTTCATTATTGAAAGTTAAAAATGGTGGGTGGGTTCCGGGAGCCAAGTTCTGCAGTCTACAGGTTTCCTTTTCAGGTCAACAGTTGTGACACTAAATATAACTCCTTTGAGCCAAAGAATTGTGAAGAGCCTCTGGGAAAAGGGGCAGTTTCTTAGGCATTCACCATCACTGCCAGCCTTGACGAAGAGATGAGGGGAGCATCGAGCTCCCCTCAGCCTCGGCATCTCAGCACCATCTCATGACTCAAGCGTGACTCATTCAATTTTTAATTGAAATAATTATTTTTCCAGCTGTATTTTTTGCTATTGAGGTCTTGTTTTGGGGTTTTAATTCTAAAAACCTTACTTCTTGGAAAAGAGCATGGCTAAATGGGATGAGGGAATGGAGATATTTTAAACAGGCAAATTAAATGATTGCATAAGAACAGAGACTATTACTAATGATCTGGTCCAAGTTCCCTCTGGATCATTATCAGCCTTTCCTTTTTTTTTTTTCCTGTGCCACCTCTCTTCACTTCAGGGCAAGTCATCATACAAGAAAAACAGATGTTACTCTGTACGTAGCATGAAATGTTAATTTAGAGTCATCTCCTTTGGGAAAGCTCCAGATTCAAGGCCCTGCAGTTGTCACCATGTAGTTCTTACATTTGAAAGTGGCAAAGAAACTTTAGAAGTATGGCAGAGTAGCAAGCCTCAGTGGAAAGAAAGTTGTCACCAATATAAACAGTGAGCAACAAACACAAAAGTCTCCCATTCCATCTACTATATTTATAAATAATTAAACATAAGTATGGAGGCCTCACTTATCTTTTTTCTGGGCAGTATCATAATTTTTAATGTGTAAAGAACTCAAGGAAAAAATAACCCTCACTTTAACACAACCTTTTACATCACTGTATAGTCTATTCAAATTCCAATGATTGTGGATACATAGGTTTTACTCAACTATAATCTATGTATTCATTCAAATTTATAGTTTATTTAGTGTACCCTCACTCTATTATTTACAATTTTCCACGTACTTACATAATTTTATCAATTCATAGTTAAGGTATTAAGGATATTACTAGTTTCTTTTGGTTGTTGCAATTCTAAATAATGCTGCTTTGAACATCTTGTGGTTTGAGTTTTGTCATAGACTTTTTCCCAAAAGTGAGATAAATAAATATGGGAGAGAACTTAATGCCTGGTAAGATGCAATCGAAGTTCCAGGTTAAAAGTCAAGAATCTGAACTGCAAATACTAATAGATCACTAGCCCTACCAAAAGATGATTGGACTTGGGGGGCTTGCGCGTCCTCACATTTCCATCTGTGTGAGAAGCAGTTAAAATAAAAAAATAGTTGAAAAAAATTGGGAGGAAGCGAGTAATTCGAGCGCCGCAACTAGGAGGTGCCCTTGGGAGTCTGGGGCGGCGAGCGGGCCTCAAGCAAAGGGGATCAAGAAGTAGACCCATCCGACAGGCCCAAGTGGCAGTGTGGGGAAAACAGCACCCCTAAACCCCAACTCCATCTCCCCCACTGTCCCTTCTCCGCTTGGATCCGGAACCCCGTCTGGTCCCGGTCGCGGCCCATCAGGAGCAGTCAGACTCTCTCTCCCTTTCGACAGGAGTAGGGGAGGTTCTCCTCCTCCACCACCTACGGCCACCAGGACAGAACTGAGACCCCGGAGATACCTCTACTGTCCCCATCCAGGAAACGCACCTCTCACTTCCTCCGGCCTTCTCCTACGCCAAGGTCTCGGTTACCAAAGACGCTGCGAACCGCGCCCCGCCTACTAAGAGCTAAGCAGGTAATTGGCAGAAACCTGGCTTCCTAGCAACTAGCTCCGCCCATGAGGCTTGAATAGGAGAGTGGTACCCGTGTGAAGCTCCTTTCCTAAGGTTTCACAGTAGGCAACCGAGACTACGAGACTACGCCTTCACAAAGGTTGGAAAGGTGTTAAAAAGTGGCGTCTCAACTCAGAATGAGGGAACGAGGCTCGTTCGCCCAACAGGTATTGACATTCTGGAATATGAGAATAAGAGGATGTAGCGGCGCCGGAGAGTGAGGTGGAGCAGGCGCGATTTGGCCACCTCAAGCCGACAGACAAGGAAGGACCGGCTGCGACACGGGGAAGAAGGCCCATCGCCCCGGCCTGGCGCTGTCTGCTCCAGTTCTCCATTGCTGACGTTCGGTATCTGGCCGCTGTGTGCGTCTCTTCTCCATAGGGGTGGGAACTGTGCCTTCATGGCTGAGGTGAAGGTGAAGCTGCAGCCGCCGGACGCGGATCCGGTAGAAATAGAAAACAGGTAAATTAGTGGGTGAGGCTCGGTTTCCGGCTCGGGAGCCCTGCAGGCGGCGGGTCATTTGGGCAGCCGGATCCTTTCTCCTGAGACCTTCGGGAGATACGGAACAAGTTCAGTGAGCGCTCAGGAAAGGGGTTGCCGGGTTTGGACCTCCTTCTCACCCTTGGAGAGCGTAACTCTTTTAATAAGTTCAAAACGAATTTGACGGTCTGCAACTTTGTGTAACTGTGCCGATGCTGTTCGGGAAATTATGATGATGTGCTCTCTTCCTGAGTTAAGGCTCATCGACGCACAGAGAGAAGACGGCGTTTTTGCAGTAGGACGTGGGGATACATATTCTGATCCAAGATCGCTCTTGTCGCAGTGGTAACTCCCACGACAGAACTTGGGCGAAATTAGGGTGCAGTTTGTGATTACAAAGCAACGTTAAGCCAAAATGGTTTTGGTGCAGTATTTAAGTCAAGATTGTAGGTAACCTAAGGCCTCTCCCAATATTCTCATTGCACTATATTTAGGTTACCACATAGTTTTAAAAGAACCGAACTTTCTCAAATTGTTATGAATAACATATGATGATCCTATGACGAGGTGAAGATATGGGCTTTTTTTGTTTGGTACAGATAATTCTAAAAGCAAGCCCCAGTTGTGAACTGTTACAAATTTTGGCTTCCCGCTAGAAGAACCTGACCTGCCTTCTGCTTGGAGACTTGTGGCTGTCCGGTGCACCGTATCTTAATTTTGTCAAACTTGTGTCTGAGAAAATTGAATTCGCAACATTAATATCTTTTGTGTTTTCATTTGATTTTTGTTCTAATTTAAAGTTCATATTAGTGAAAGAATATTTCCCTGAAATAATAATAATAATGTAAACATGTATTTTGAAAGCTTTGATTCAGAACCATCATAGAAACCCAAATGTGAAAAAAGGCACAATTTCAAATTGTTCTGCTAGTATTTTCCCCCACTGCCTTTTAAAATAAGTAAAAACATGAGTAATACCATTAATGTGTTTGTTCTTAGGATTATAGAGTTATGTCACCAGTTCCCTCATGGAATCACAGACCAAGTAATTCAAAATGAAATGCCTCACATAGAAGCTCAGCAGCGGGCAGTGGCAATCAATAGACTCTTGTCTATGGTAAGGTGAATCCAACTAGTTAATGTAATTATTTTTTTTAAATTACCATTGTCATTACTTCCTATTATTAGTCATTAAGACATTAGAAGGTGTGTTAGGTTGTGACTGATAAGATTCTAAACCAGGAAACAGCTCAGACTGCCTAAACTGAGGAAAGAGAAAAGAATTATTAATCATTTTACAAGACAAATGGAATAAATGCGTTTTGTTTTAACTGTTGTATTTGTTAACCTAATTGTCATTAAGATACATAAAGATATATAGCCATAGACTCTAACCTTCTGTTTGCTTCCTACTGGTTTTGGGACATTCCTTATGAAATATATCCCCCTGATTTTTCTGTCATCACAGAGTCAACTTATTAAGGTTCCTTTCTCCACAATCTCACACTGAGCATTTCAAGATGTAGGAATGAGTCCAGTTGAATGCGAACAGTGTTGGCCCTCAGGGAGTAAGTGCAGGCTCTGCTCTAAATAATAGCAGTGGGTTTTTCTTTTTTTTTCAATGAATTCCTTATAGCTGCTCTTACCTCTTCTATTCCCCTGGGGCCCTAATGTCATTCTCCTCTTCTATCCAAAAACACCATACCCGCTGGTACCACATGCTCTAAATCTACCTATTTCTCCTTCCTTTCCTCTATCATCAAAGTTCCCATGTCCTGAGAGCATTTCAGTTTGCTTAGTAGCAATTAGGTAAAAGATTTCTGTACTGAGGACTCGTCTGAAGGCTGTTACACTTTTTAAATCTACCAGTTTTATTGGATTTCTAAGGGCTCTGGATATGGAGATTTGAGGACAGGCAGACTTTTTGTTAAACTGTTGCCTTCAACCTTCTAGTTCAGGGGTTGGCAAACTTTTTGCATAAAGTACCAGATAAAAACCCTGACCAGTGTGGTTCAGTTGGTTGGGTTTCATTCTGTGAAGTGAAAGGTCACTGGTTTGATTCCTCGTCAGAGCATGTGCTCAGGTTGCAGATTTGGTTCCCCATCGGGGCGTGTACAAGAGGCAGCCATTCGATGTTTCTCTCCCTCTCTCTCTCCCCCTCCCTTTCCCTCTCTCTAAAAATAAAAAAATAAAATCTTTAAAAACATAAGTGTCAGATAGTATATGTTTTAGGCTTTCTGGGCCATACAGCTTCTGTCACAGTAGATCAATTCTTCAAGAAAATAGTTGTGGTCCACACCTAAATAAATGGATGTGGCAGTGTCCCAATAAAACTATTTTTAAAAACTACCCTGGCTGGTGTGGTTCAGTGGATTTAGTACTGGCCTGTGAACCAAAGTGTCACTGGTTCGATTCCCAGTCAAGGCACATGCCTGGGTTGCGGACCAGGTCCCAAGTAGGGGGCGCTTGAGAGGTAACCACACATTGATGTTTCTCTCCCCCTCTTTCTCCCTCCCTTCCCCTGTCTAAAAATAAATCAATAAAATCTTAAAAAAAACAAAACAAAACTTTTTGTTAAAACAATCAATGGCCTAGATTGCTGACCTTTATTTTAGCACCAGGAAAAAGGACTGTTGATGCTTTCTGATCAATTCATGTTGATGAAGGTCTTAAGCTCCAGGAACGACAGAGGAAGGGATGCTGGGAGGTTGTGGCAATGGAGAATGTTTCTGTCCTGTGACCACTCTTTCAGCCCTTTCCTTTCTGTCTGAAAATCATCCTCAGTACCTTCCTCTGTTTTACCACCTCTGTCTTGGACCCCACCTACTGCCAGTCCTGTTGGCTTACAGGTTGTAGGCAGTGGTGGAACTATTAAAGCATTTTAAGCAAGAGAGTAATTATTAACAAATCACAAAGTATTACTGATTTTAGCTCTTAAATAAGTCTCAAATTTGTTCCCCTATTTCCATTCCTACTACCCCCACATGTGTTCAGGCTCTTGGCTTTTACCTGGACTATTACAGTGTATCCTAACTGGCTTTCCTGGTTTCATCTGCCTCAGAGAAGACAGTCTAATCTGCCTTAAATACAGATCTGACTGAGTCACTTACCTACTAGAAATGCTTCTTTTTCAGCACTAGAGATTCAAGTCCAAACTCATGGATTAACCACATTGAGCCCCTACCTTCATTACCTGCCTTATCTTTTGCCATCATTGTGCCCCAAAAGTTAGGTTTCAAAGGGAACAGATTCTTCTTGGTTTCCTGTCACAATATGCTGTTGCATGCCTCAGATCCTTTGCTCATGGAGTCTTCCCTGCTTAGAAGGAAAGGCCCTTCCCATTCTTCACAGACTGACTAATTTCTCATCCTTCAAGACTCAGTTCTGCTATTGTCTCCAGGAAGTCTCCCTGAATCCCTGGTTGGACCAAAGCTTCTCTGAGAGCCCATTCTGCCCATTACTTACATCTATCTTTTTTATTGTTTTTGACCTCACACGACGATATGCTTATTTTAGAGAGAGAGAAACATCGATGTGAGACAGATGCATCGATTGGTTGCCTCTTGTACGTGGCCCAACTGGGGACTGAATCTGTAATCTAGGTATGTGCCCTGACTGGGAATCAAACCTGTGACCTTTCAGTTTATAGGATGACATTCCAACCAACTGAGCCACACCAACCAGGGCACTTAACCTCTCTCTTAACGTAAACCAGGTAGCATTGAAGTTAGCTGTGTGATTCTCTTTTAGAATTGATGTTTGTACTCCCAAACAACAATCATACTCTGGTGTTCATTAAATGTTTTTGGTTGAATTAAAAGACTGAATGGAGCTGCTAAATTGAGTTTTGTGGTTCAGTTTTGCCACTTAGTGGAGTCAGTGGGGAAGTATTACTGTTGAGCCATAGGTAAGTCATGGGTCCTCCCAGGCTTAGCCATGGCTTCGCCATACTGCCAGAAGCCCAGTGGTACAGCCATCTGGGCTCCTAAGTTCATATCTAAGGAAATTCAGAAGCATATGTCAGACATGCTTTATTTTACTTTTGACTCATTATAGAAAAACAAAACTGCAGGTATTTTATTCATCTGTTGACCTTCCTGCCTAATTTTCGTGTAACACAATAGAAATCACACATATCAGTAAATGTCACTATTAACTCTGTAACTTTTATTTAACCATCATGTGATAGAATATTTATGCATGTCAGCCTTTATTTGAACTTTATATTACATAAATTATATTTTATTTGCATTATATTTTTTGAATTTATATTTAATTTGAATAAAGATTTTTTTCTTTTATTCTAAAGCTGCTTGTTTATAATCTTTATGCATTGATCATATAACCAAACCAGGATCTAGCATATAGGTAATTGTTAGATGTTAATATTTTAGAAAGCGATAAGATAAAGGGCCAAGTTTTTTAAAATGTACTGCATGTGATAGGTAGGCAAAAACTTAAATCTCAAATGTGGAACTGACAAATAACAAGAGGTAGGATATTTTAGACTGTGTAAAACATTAAACAATGCATTGACATTTGTCATTGGATTTGAAGTCTCTATAAAGCAATTAACTGCTGTTTTCCATTAAAAAATTTTAGGGTCAGTTGGATCTCTTAAGGAGCAATACAGGCCTTCTGTATAGGATAAAGGATTCTCAGAATGCTGGGTAAGCACAAAATTGTATCATTTTAAGAAAAAGTTAATTATTACAAAAGTAATATATGTTTTTAAAAAAGCCAGTACAAAATAGCATAATGTAAACCTCCTGCACATCATCCCTGCCTCCTATCATGAGTTCCATTTCTCAGAGATAGCTGTTCTTACAAATTGGGAATATATCTTTTCTTCTAAATATATATAAATATATACAGCTGCTTATATATTTATATATAGTCTCTTTTAAACAAAAATGGGATCATGCTATCCATACTGTTGGTTTTTATTAAAGATTTTATTTATTTTTAGAGAGGGTAAGGGAGGGAGAAAGGGAGGGGAAACATCAATATGCTAGAGAAGCATCGATCAGATGCTTCTTGCCGGGGGCCTGGCCCACATACCAGGCATGTGCCCTGACCGAGAATTGAACTAGCAACCTTTTGGTTTGCAGGACCATACCCAAACCACTGAGCCACACCAGTCAGGACTAACCTCACTGTTTTGCAACTTGTTTTTTTATACTTGTCTTCTTATTTTTAAGATGTGCCCTTCTTTGGTAAGTAAGTCAATTTGATGACCTTGTCTGCTAATTTATTTAAAGAGTCATGTAGACTATTAGATTATCATGTACCTCTTTGCCTTTTTAATTCTACTTTATTCTCCTGCAGTAAAATGAAGGGATCAGATAACCAAGAAAAACTAGTATATCAGATCATAGAGGATGCAGGAAATAAAGGTAAGCATATGGAGGAAGAAATAGAAAATAACATTGATTTTGGGCTAGATACAGGGACTGAGATCCTGTCTTCCCAGGATATGGATCAGTGTGTATGCTGCCATTTATGTAAAAAGAAGAGGGTAATGTAACATACATATATACAGGGTGGGGAGAAGGTAGGTTTACGATTGTGAGTATGTAAAACAGTTTATTCTTGTATTATTTATTAATTATTGTATTATTTTCCATATGAACAACTGTAAACCTACCCCATACTGTACATATGTTTGAAGGACACATAGAGTAATGTCATTGTTGCCTCAAAGGAGGCAAGAGTTAGATGACTGTGGGAAGGGACAAAGTTCTAATATTTAACCATGTGAATGTATTATCTATTAAAAATAAATTGAAACTTATGGTTCTTTTTTTAAAATCTTCATTCTCTGAACTTTGGAAGCCTTATTTTCTTCATCTGCTTTGTAAATTGTGGATAACAATATCTGTTTGGTATAAAAAAAAAAAGAGATGTGCAGTGCAGTGTGGCAGTGTCTGAATAGGTCTCTCAACAGCTATTTTGCTCCTCTGTCTTCATAGAAGAGCTGTATCTAAATTGCTGTTACTACAATTTAGGATCTATTTGATCTGTTAGCTTTAACATTTATAATTTAATCTAAAACCATGTAATTCTTATTAGTTAGAAAATTTAATTAAAATTTAAAAAATAGATATGTGAAAAAGCCATTTTCTGTTTTAAAAAAATTCTTCCTATCTCATTATGCATCTCTGTTGTGAAGAAAATACAGCAACATATTTTTACATAAAATTCCATTTTCACTATTTCCTTCTTTGAAAGAAAAATTATAGCTTCCTGTGCAGAACTTTTAGTGGCTGTAAGAACTATAATCTTTTTTTCATTTCCCTAATATAGTGTTGTATAAATAATAGAAGTGCTAACATAAGGACTTTTTTGCTCTCCCTTGAGGATGACAGCTGACCCACCCCAGACTTGTTTGTTTTTCTCATATACAATCTGAAATGAAATTTATAGAAAACAGAGGTTGGGTGCAGGAGGGAATGGAAGAGACAATGCAGACAAGCACCACTTAACTACAGAGATAAGTTCTGAAAATGCACTGTTAGGTGATTTCATTGTCATTTTGCAAACATCATAGAGTTCACCTAAACATAGATGGTATAAACCATCCGGCCTGGGTAGTGCAGTTGGTTACAGCATTGTTCCAATAAGCCAAGATTGTGGGTTCAATCCCCAGTCAGGGTATATACAAGAAGCAACCAATGAATATATACATAAATAAGTGGAACAACAAATTGATGTTTCTCTTTTTCTTTCTCTCTCTCAAATCGATAAATGAAAATTAAAAAAATAAAAAGTAAGTGGACTTTGATGGTCTATACCTACTACACACCTAGGCTATAATAATATAGACTGTAGCTCCTAAGTTGCAAGCCTATATAGCATGTTACTGTACAAAACAACATGAGATTAATTCAAGCACAAGAGAAAAGGATATAGTCAACAGACACAGTAAACCTGATTTGTATGAGGCTACTGCAGCATACTGTTTTATGGCAGAATTTTTTTTATAAGTAAAAAGAGTACACTCTGAACTTATAAAAAGTATAGTATGATAAATACATCAGTAACAGTCACTTATAATTATGTACAGTATTATACACTGTACATAATTGTATATGCTGTATTTTTATACAACTGGCAGGTTTGTTTACACCAGCATCACCACAAACACGTAAGTAATGAGTTGGCTACAATGTTAGGACAGCTGTGATGTCACCAGGTGATAGAATTTTTAGCTCTTATTATAATCTTATGGGACCACGAATATGCATGCAGTTTGTCATTGAGTGAGACTTCATTATGTAGTACATAAATGCATAAATTCAGTAATCAACATTTTTCTTTCATTATAAAAATGTTCTTTTCATTTATTTTTATTTATTTTTTTTTAAGTTGTAAATTAGACCTAGACCTTTAGAGTCCAAGTATAGAAAGAATGTGGAAATTATGAATTCTGGTAAAGTGCAAGCTTTAAAAGTATTTTTTTCTCCTAAAATAATTGTCCTTAAATCATAGCTTTAAATTCAGTTTGTTTTATTTGCTTATATTTTAATATATAAAGTACAATTTAACTTGATCAGTAATTTTATCTGGATTCTTTAGTCTGCCTTAAAAAGAAGACTGTGGGGGAAAAAAGAGAAAGAAAAGGATTGGCTGCACTTCTCACATATAACACGTGCTGTTATAGAAAGATTTGCCCAGGAGTATGAATCCGCAAAGGATTCATAAAATATGCCATTTTAGTATTCCCCCAGACATAGATCCATTAAAGAGTGTGTACTTGGTCTTTTATTTTTTTTATTTTTTTTAAATTTTAATTTATTTTTTCAAATACATTTGTCTCTGCCTACCCCCCACCACTTTCCCTTGCCTCCTCCCTCCTTTCCTCCCTCAGCTCTTCCCCTTTGGTTTTGTCCATGAGTCCTTGCTATATATTCCTTGACTTTCCCCTTCCCTTTTAAAAATTCAACATTTTTCTTTCATTATAAAAAGGTTCTTTTCATTTATTTTTAAAAAGTTTCCATGATAGAATTCCAGGAAATTTCTGGTTGTTAAATAGAACATGTAACTTATGTATTGTTTTTGCATATTTTTGTTACTCTGAGATCCTTTCTTTTAAGTCACTCAGTTTTTCCAATAGTTATGCATTAGAAGTTTATACATATATATTTTGCTAGTTTTGGAATGAGATATAAATAATAGGATTATAAACACAAGTCCTATGGTTTTCAACTTATTTTACTTTCCTTTCTTACAGGAATATGGAGCAGAGATATCCGGTACAAAAGTAATTTGCCATTAACAGAAATTAACAAAATTCTAAAGAATTTGGAAAGTAAAAAGCTTATCAAAGCTGTTAAGTCTGTGGCAGTGAGTAGTGTTCTCTTTTCTTCTCTTGAATGTTGGCTGTATGTATATTACTCCAAGCATATTTCAGGGTTGTTGTTTTTTTATTGTTATTTAAGCTCTGTTGTGATTTAAAGCAACTGATCAAAAAAGATTTTAAAAAATTTAGCTCATTGGTTTGCAGGTGCTGCTTAGTTAGATATGGCACTGTTTAGTAGTCTTACCCATTCAAAAATTTAAAGCTATTCAGGACAGAATTTTTGGAATCATGAACATTTTTTCCTGGATTTTGTCATATGTAAGAGAATTTACCCCTTACTCGCATGTTAGATTACTGATTGATCAGATATCTATTGTGTGTTTGTGACGTGCCAGGCACTATTCTGGGTGCTTGGGATACGTTATTGAACAAGTCAGAGAAAGATCCCTGCTCTGGTGGAGCATCTGGTCCAGTACACAGTGTTTCTCTTCCTCATCCCACCCACCTATCACATCCTTCAGGGACTCCATACTCTAGAACGGGGTCCATCAGAGACATCTGCTGTTGACCTCACTGATTTAGGCATCAGAGGAACCAGGATTCCCCTAGACTAAAGTTGACTTGAACACAAATTTTAGCATTTAAGAATCTGATATTCATTCAATTGGTACAGCTGCTATGGGAAACTGTGCAGGTTACTCAAAAAATTAAAAATGAAACTGTCTTATTACTCAGCAGTTCCACTTCTTCATATATATACTAAGAAACCCAAAACACTAATCCAAAACAGTATGTGCACCGCTATGTCCATTGCAGCAGTATTTACAATAGCAAAGATAGGGAACCAACCCAAGTGCCCATCAACAGATGGGTGGATTAAAAAAGCAGTAATTGATAGACATATATATGACTCAGCCATAAAAAAGAATGGAATCTTATCATTGGTGACAGCATGGATGGACCTAGATAGTATTATGCCAAGTGAAATTAGATAAAGACAAAAAAAAAAAAATGATTCTACTTATATGTGGAATCTAAATAACAAAATATATGAAATAAACAAAATAGAAACAGTCATAGATACAGAGAAGCAATTGCTGGTTGCCAGAGAGGAAGGGGAGTTGGTGGGTGGATGCAAAGGTGAAAGGATTAAGAAGTATACATTGGTAGTTACAAAATAGTCACAGGGATGTAAAGTACAACATACGAAATGTAACCAATAATGAAATAACAATGTATAGTGCCAGGTGGGTACTTGAAATATTAGGGGGATCACTTCGTAAGGTATATATGATTGTCTACCCACTATGCTATATACCTGAAAATAATATAAACTAATACTGAATGTCAATAGTAATTGAAAAATAATATTTTTTTAAAAAATCAAGTGAACTGCAAAAGATTCGATATTCATTTGATTTTATTTAATCAATGATACTTGTATCATACCACTAAGTTAGAATATTATTTCTCTTCCAAATTTTTAATAGATAATTTCCTATCAGTTCAAAAGTAAAGAAAATAACATAATAAATCCCCCATATACCCATCACCTAGCTTGATTTCGACAATTCTCCTTCTTCTTTATTTTTAATAGCTTCACTGAGCTTACATTTTATAAAATTAATCCTGTTAAAGTATATGATTCATTGGGTTTTAATGTTTTCACAGAATTATGCAATAATCACTCTCTTCTAATTTTAGAACATTTTTATCACCCCAAAATGTTACCCCACTAGCAGTCACTCCCTAGCCTCCCTGCCCTAAGGCCCTGGCAGCCATTAATGAGCTTTCTGTTTCTATAGATTTGTTTATTCTGGACATTTCCTATAAGTGGAATTATACAATAAATTGTCTTTTGTGTCTGCCTTCTTTCACTTAGCATCATGTTTTCAAGGTTGCAGACTAAAGCAGTATAAATATTCATGAATCCATGCCAACAGATAAATGTTTGAATAAATAAATACATGAGACAAATTAGACAAATCTTTCATGCAGAAAAATTTCAAATAATTTATGTAGATACTCTGCCCTAAGGGAAGTAGAGCATAATTCCCAATTCTTAACTTTGGACTGTAAATGGTGACTTTCTTCCAAAGAAAGGGCAGGGAAAAAAGTAACTACAGTGAAGCAAAGTAAGAATCACTGGCTACTTTTAGCAAGGGAATTAAGGTTAACATCAACACAGAAAAGTCATAATGGTGATAATCAGTCATCATTTGGTGATAATCAAATACCCTTAATATGATGTGATAAGAAGATCATTTGACCTCTATGGTCTTTTTTCCAGCCTCATCAGAAAAACATCAGACAAATTCCAATTAAGGTCATCCTACAGAATACCTGACTAGTAATTCTCAAAACTAGCAAGTTCATCAATAAGACTGAGAAATTGTCACAACTAAAAATTGCCTCAGGAGACATGACAACTAAATCTAATGTGACACCTTGAATAGAATCCTGAATCAGAAAAAGGATATTATGGAAAAACTAAGGAAATATGAATGAAGTATAGTTTAGTTCGTAGTAATATATCAATATTGGTTCATTAGTTATAACAAATGTACCCTATTCATGTAAGATGTTAATGATAAGGAAAATATTACAAGGTAAATGGGAATTCTGTACCATTTTTTACAATACTTCTATAAATCTGAAACTCTTAAAACAAAGGTTAGGCTTTTTCCTTTTTCCAGATCTTAGTTTTGGGAGACTGTGAGCTTATAACCAATCTGCTGTGCATATTTTTTCCTAGGCCTCAAAAAAGAAGGTGTATATGCTCTATAACCTGCAGCCTGACCGGTCTGTGACTGGTGGAGCCTGGTACAGTGACCAGGATTTTGAGTCTGAATTTGTAGAGGTGCTTAACCAACAATGTTTTAAGTTCCTACAAACCAAGGTAAGGCATAATTGACGAAACAATCATGTACTAAACAAAATATTTTCTGCTATTGATTTCGCTCTGTATAAATTGTATTCAGAAACCACTTGATGAGATTTATGTTTTTACCCTTACAGGCAGAAACAGCACGAGAAAGCAAACAGAATCCGATGATACAGAGAAATAGTTCTTTTGCTTCATCACACGAAGTATGGAAATATATCTGTGAATTGGGAATCAGTAAGGTCAGACCTCAGTTTCTAATTTTAATCTTACTTTTAAAAACTTATTTATCATAGGGGTATATTTCACAATATATTCCAAACATTTGATCCAGACCATTTTTTCAGGTGATAACCTGTGGATGTTCTACAGAACCCACTTTGAGAAAGTGCTGTCGAACCAGTTAGGCAAATGTGGTCATGTGATTTGCATTGTCTCAACTGTATGTGCTGAGCTTGGGAGATAGAGCAGCAGGGTGGAGGCCTGGTAGTGCATTTCACTATCAGAATTCAAAAGTCTGTTCTGATAAGTTCTTGACTTCGTCAGGCACATTTCAACATACGTGCTAAACATGTCATCATGTCTGTTGTCAGTTATTGGAATTTTCTATCTTAAGAGATGTAAGCAGTATTATCATCATATTTTTTTTTAAGACCTATACATAAGCTCCTATACATATGGAAAGTGTGCTGAATGTTTTTCACAATCAGAGAAGAAATTGAAGTGGACACTTGTGGACAAGTCATTTTCATTTCCCAAATTTCTCATTTATTAAAAATTTTGACTAAAGATTGTTTGATGTCTAAAATACCATTCTCCTCAAGCATTTAATAAACCTTTATCAAGTTCTTGTCAAACAAACATTACAAGACTTCTGGACTTTTTTTTATTAGAGTTAAGATATCACACAGTGTCAAGCTCAGTTTGAGGTAAGAGTTCTGTCCCTAGCATGAGTGGTTTGTGGTAACTTGGACCATTGTTCAACCCCTCTGTACTTTTGCTTACTTGCTAGTATAGTGCTTCCCCATTTCACTAAGGAATTGTGACCCTATACTGTTTTTAACCCCTACAAAAGAATGTTTCTTTGTCCTTTTTGTTTCCTTTTTCATAATCCTCTTTATAGGTAGAGTTGTCCATGGAGGACATTGAAACCATCTTGAATACACTCATCTATGATGGGAAAGTAGAGATGACTATCATTGCTGCAAAAGAAGGCACAGTTGGCAGTGTAGATGGACACATGAAACTCTATAGGGCAGTCAATCCAATTATCCCACCCACAGGTTTGGTTCGGGCCCCCTGTGGACTCTGTCCGGTGAGTTAAAGTGACTTCACTCTACACCTAACTGTCACAACATACCAGCAAAAGCACACCCCAGTTTTCTCACTCTCAGGGTTGACCAAGATCTACTCAAACCTCCATGTAACCTTTATGACAGATGTTTAATGAATAAATCTTGCCTCACATAAGGAATTTGTGTTTTCCACTCTTGGCCCTGAAATGGACACTTTTCAACAAGCATTAATCATTTAACCTAAGTAGGGTAGAAGTGAGATTTGTTGAGAATATACCATTGCCCGACATGTTTTTGATGATGTATGTGGTTTCACTTAATGCTCTTTATATCCTTTTGAGCTAGTGGTGTTATTTCCCCTTTAGTAGATGGGAACTTCAGCTGAGGAAGACCTAAGAGGATGTAGTTCAGAAGTAACAACCATGATTCAAACTCAGACTTAATGTTCTTTCCCCTGCAGCATGCCCTAGCACTCTTCATTCATTCATGCCCACTTAACTTATGAGTGTCAGCTGTGTGCTATAGGCACTGTCCCAGACCTCATCGCATTTATATTCTTGGGCTACTAGTCTATGTTTTATTTCATTAGACTGATTGTTTTTATACATCTAAGCACTCTATGCCATGGTTTCAATTATTAGAGACAAGGCTAGCATATTGGGAATTCTATTTAGCATCCCTTCACAGAAAGGAAGGTAGCTAAATATGAAACATTCAGTTGGTCAAACTTAAGTCATCCTTATGTATAGATCTCCTTTCTTATTCCAGCGTTACCCATTGATAGCATTTTTCCTAGTGAGCAGGTATACATGTTCATCTTAATGCTATAGTAAAAGAATTCTTATTAACTAACTTTATGATCACAGAGAATGTCCTATTACAGCATGTTCTTAAATACAGTCCTAATCTCTTTCAATTTGAAAGTTTTGTTTTTAATAGCACTTGAAATAGGTAGTTGGGTCTTGGATATTTTTGTTAACAGAGATTTGAGTTATAGTTGACATTTAATTGACATTACATAGTAGTGTAATAATTTTAAAACCTCAGTTTGAATATAAACTTTTTTCTTTTTTAAAGGTTTTTGATGACTGCCATGAAGGTGGTGAGATTTCGCCATCTAACTGTATTTACATGACAGAGTGGCTTGAATTTTAATAGAGAGCTATGAACTTTACTGACATTTTGCAAATGAAGTTGCTTTGGGAGCAAATAAATAACTTCATGCATGATGGAACATCAAATTCCCTTGAAAACAAATTTTACAATAATGGATACAGACTTGCTGCTATGAAAATATATACTATTTTATCTATGAAGACTAAGTTTATGTTGGTAGAGTAGCCAACAGAATATGAAGCAGGTAAGGTTAGTAGTGAAATCCGTTGTTCAATAAATAAAATACTCTGAAGTTCTGGAGGACAACATCTTTGAAGCTTTCGACACATGTGATTGTTCAAGAAAAAAGCCAACAAATCCATAATTATCAATGGATAATGGCTAGAGCCTAAAAATGCTTGTTTTAAATTTATTAAGGTCTTCATTGGAAATTACGTATATCTGGTCACTATCACTATTTCTATTTTCTCAATGATTCTATTGAGAAGCAATTAAAACAGGGAAGGAAGGAATAGCAGGGCACTTTACACAAACTTGGGGTGTGAATGGAGGAGAGAGTTGGAACATCCTTTTTCCACATACTGTTAGTTTCCTTTTATGTCAGAAATATTCTTTCAGAGGAATATGGCACTGTATTTACCTCAAAGCTAATGATGACTATTGTCAAGGATATGTTTTCTGTGTATAAATATTATCACATTCATCTTAAAGGATTATTTTCACTAGATCTTTGTTAAAGTTTTAGAAGTTCACTCTGTGGCCCAATTGTACTACTTACTAGAATTTTTCCCTAGATTCTTATTATTTAACTAAAATTAAAACTAAAAATTCCATTGCCCTCCACTCACTTTATTTTGAGGAGGGGTACCATTCTTCTTTTCTTGTCCCATTTTAGATTTGTTTCCTTATTCTGGTCTAAAAATCATGGTGCAATATGTGTAAACTGAGCAGAAAGCCATTGTAATTGTCCTCAGTTCTAATAATACTTTAAAGTCCAGTCTATAGCCATATAGAAAACACTAGCTTATTTGATGCAGTGTTGCACGCAAGTTAGCTGGAGGGCTTTTTAGGATCCCAGCTGTTGTATTTTCCCTTTTAATTCCATTTAAGTTTCTATGTCTAGGTCAAAAGCATGGTACCAGAGGAAAGGAATTCAAGTTCAGCTACTCCTAAGGCCTGAGTTCAAACACAAGTTTGGAGATACTAAGTGGACAACCATCAGAAGAGTTATTTTGAAATAAATGGGATTAGTAAAATCAGTCCAGTTTTTTTTAAACTGGATAAATTCTGTGGTCTGTTGTATAGAATTAGCTTTTGATGACACTACTCTTTGAAACAAATACCACTTTTAAGTATTGGAGATACCAATAGAGATATTGATATGGAACAGAGAATCTGGGAGCCTGCAACTTTAGGATTCCCTTCTACTGCCAATGAGAGCTGGAATGGTTAAAACAGTATCTGTCCTTCCTGGGACCTGGCCTATCACAGAGGCATAGTCTTGTTTGGTAAGCAAACTGAACTTGGAGGAGTATTAGAATTGGAGAGCAGGAAGCAGTTTTCTGTTTTGTTTTTTATAGCCATTATTATTATTTTTCCTTTTTTTATTGTTCAGTTACAGTTGTCTCCATTTTCCCCTCTGTTGCACTACCCTGCCCCATCCAACCCCAGGCTCTCAAACACATTCCCTACTCCATTGTTCTTGTCCGTGGGTCCTTTGTGCATGTTCCTTGACCTTTCCCCTTGTTTCCCCTATTGTTCCCCTTGCCCCGCCCCACTCTAGTCCCTGTCAGTTTCTTCTTTATTCCATGTCTCGGGTTCTTTTTTGCTCATTTGTTTGTTTTGTTGATTAGATTCCACCTATAGGTGAGATCATATGATATTTGTCTTTCACTACCTGGCTTATTTCACTTAGCATAATCTCCAGTTTCTTCCATGCTGTCACAAAGGGTAGTTCATTCTTTCTGCTGTGTAGTATTCCATTGTGTAAATGTACCACAGTTTTTTGATCCGCTCAATTACTGATGGGCATTTAGGTTTTTTCCAGCACTTGGCTATTGTAAATAGTGCTGCTATGAACAGAGATGTGTATAAATTCTTTTGAATTGGTGTTTCAGGATTGTTAGGGTATAATCCCAGCAGTGGAATTGCCGAGTCAAAAGGCAGTTCCAGTTGTAGTTTTTTGAGAAATTCCATACTGTCTTCCACAGTGGCTATACCAGTCTGCATTCCCACCAACAGTGGACTAGGGTTCCCTTTTCTCCACATCCTTGCCAGCATTTGTTTGTTGATTTGTTTATGATGGCCATTCTGACCAGTGTGAAGTGGTATCTCATTGTGGTTTTAATTTGCATCTTTCTGATAACTAGTGATGATGAGCATCCTTCCATATGCATCTGGGCCCTCTGTATGTCCTCCTTGGAGAAGTGTCTGCTCAGTCCCTTTACCCATTTTTTTAATTGGATTGCTGGGCTTCCTGGTGTGGAGTCATGTGAATTCTTTATATATTTTGGAGATCAAACCCTTGTCCAAGGTGTCATTGGCAAATACGTTTTCCTGTACAATTGGTTCCCTTTTTATTTTTCAGATGTTTTCTTTAGCTCTGCAACTTTTTAATTTGATGTAGTCCCATTTGTTTATTCTTTCCTTTATGTCCCTTGCATTAGGGGACATACTGGTGAAAATATTGCTGCATGGGATATCTGAAATTTTCCTCTGTTCTCTAGGATTTTTATGGTGTCATGATTTACATTTAAGTCTTTTATCCATCTTGAGTTTATTTTTGTGTATGGTGTAAGTTGGTGGTCTAGTTCATTTTTTTGCATGTACCTGTCCAGATCTCCCAACACCATTTATTGAAGAGTCTGTTTTTACTCCATTTTATGCTCTTGCCCCCTTTGTGAAATATTAATTGACCATAGAGACATGGGTTCATAACTGGGTTCTCTATTCTGTTCCATTGATCTATGTCTGTTATTATGCCAGTACCAGACTATTTTGATTACAGTGGCCTTGTAATATAGTTTGCTATCACGTATTGTGATCCCTCCTACTCTGTTGTCCTTTCTCAAAATTGCTGAGGCTATTTGGGATCATTTACTGTTCCATATATATTTTTGAAATGTTTGTGCTATATGTGTGAAATAGGTTATTGGAAAATTAATAGGGATTTCATTGAATCTATAAATAGCTTTGGGTAGCATGGATATTTTGATGATTTAATTCTTTCAACCCATGAACATGGTATATGCTTCCATTTATTTGTGTCTTCCTTAATTTCTTTCTTCAGTGTTGTGTATTTTCTGTGTACAGGTGTTTACCTCCTTGGTTAAGTGTATTCCTAGGTACTTTATTATTCTAGGAACCAGTTTTAAATCAGACTTTGCATTATGACTTGGTAACCAGAGATTGATTATTAATCATTTTTTAACCACCCAAGGACACTTTTTAATTGCTTTTTATAGAGAGAAAGGGAGAGAGACAGGAAAACATCAGCTGGTTGCCTCTTGTGTTCACTCCAACTGGGGATCAAACCCACAACCTTTTGGTCTGGGATGATGATCCAACCAGCTGAGCCATACTGGCCAGGACCAGAGATTGATTTTTAAAGCTTACAGTCAATAGCTAAAACATAAAACATACCCATCCCTTGCTTCACTAAAGAGTCTCTTTAAACATTTTTCTCATGTTTTATTTTCTTTTTAGAGATTTATTTTTATTGTGTATTCTAATAGCATGTTTTAAATTCTGAATTTAACTGAAGGAGAAAAGAGATAATTTTAAAATACAGCATTTCTGATGATAGTTAAATGCTTATGATGTACAGGAGTAAACTTTGACCAAAACAAATAATGAGGCTCTAGAGTCATGACAACACCAAAAAAATCAAACTGTGAGTCAAGTCCTAAACCTTACAGTTAATTTTCATTTAGTTTAAGGTGTTTTGCTCACTAGAGAATAGATAATCCCTGGAGTCTATCAAGGCCTTGCCACGGTTAATAGTGATCCATGATACAGTCAAAGAGAATCATGAAAGTCTATGATTTGATGGCTTAAATGAATAGTTTATGTGGGATTCTTCCTTGAAACTACTCTGATCTTAGTTTGGTGATGAGTAAATTTTAGAGTCATGAGTTTTATGGTGAACAACTAAGCAAACTAGTCAAATAGAAGTAATTTCAAGTTGAGTCACTTTTACTTTGTACTGTTATTCATTATTAGATGGAGGGTGAGAGGAGAATATAAAATGCATCCCCTAGACTCCAGTGCCATCTGATAGAACTTTTATAGCAGAGATTTTCAACCTATTTTATCATGGTACCGATAAACTATACTAAAATTCTGTGGCACACCAAAAATATTTTTTTGCCAATCTGACCAAAAGAAAAAAAAAGATATAATTTTGATTCATTAACACTGAATGGCTGTTGTATTGACTGTTGTCATTTTTTTAATTTGACAGTCTAAAGGGAAAGAGGTCAGTTCCCTGACTAGTCAGGTATTGCATGTTTTATTGCTGCTGTTGGTTTTTAATTTTTATTAATTTTTTTTAGAGAGAGAGAGAGGAGGGGAGATAGAGAAACATTGATTTGTTGTTCCACTTATCCATGCATCCATTAGTTGATTCTTGTATGTGACCCTACTGGGAATCAGACACAGTCTTGGCATATCAGGATGATGGTCCAACCAAGTGAGCTGCCTGGCCAGGGCTTTTTCTTTTTTAAAAATTTGTATCTTTTGACTTTAGAGAAAGGGAGAGAGAGAAAGGTATTGCATGTTTTAAAAATTCTTGTGGCACGCCAGTTGCTGCTCTGAAGGCTGGAAATTGTTTGAGGCAATACTAGGGATGGTAATAGGCAAACATTGTTGGAAAATAAAAAAGGATTTTTTTGATGGATCATGATCAGAAGAGAAGTCATGGAATGATGCTTGAAAGAGAGCTGAAGGACCATAGTGGTTAAAAGATAGAACTCCACAGAGCAAAAAGTTGAGGAATGGAAAGATTTTTTTAAAAAATAATTAAGACTTTGTAACAAAATCCAAATTTTTTCCATGATTTCATCCTTTGACAGTATGTTCATTTCTCAGGCTTTTTGGAGAATCATTTAAAGCACCTGGCTAAGTTAATAGTTACAGGCCACAAATGGATGGCTTGGACTTTGTGTATTGCAGTGTTTTTAAATTTATTTACATTGTAGTTGCCAACTAATCCATATGTATATGAACTGGACATAATTATTGTACATATGGATTATATATAGATAAATATATCTTCCCTGAATGTAAAAACCATTGTATAAAGTTTTTTAATTGAAAAATCAGAAAATTGGCAACACCTTGCCACATTTCTACATGACATGAACTCTCCACATTGCCCTTATCTTCCCCAGTGAGGTCTTAGACAAAAAGGTTGACTGCTCATATTCCCTGCCTTATCCTTGCAGACCCCTGCCTCATAGCATCCTTATATTTCATTCTCTCTCAACCTATTTGGAGGACTGGGGGTTGCGGGTGAGGGCAGGGTGTCAAAGGTGAAGGGCCCAGTCTGGGTTTAATATACTGGGCCAGCTCAAAACAAGTGTCTGAGCTCTAAGTCAACATTCTGGACCTTTAGTCACGTTTTATTTCTCCAATAAAATAGAAAAGTTTCACTTCAAAGAGGAGTACAACTCCTATAACATCCATGAAATGTATTCAGTTTTGATCTAGACTGTAAGTCAGGAAACCTGGGTTCCATTTCCGTCTTAATCACTGGGTGGTTGAGAGGTCCTTATGTCCCTTACCATTCGGGGAAAATAGTGCTTTAGTTCATAGCAATTTGGGGAGATGGAGAGTCTATAGAAAATGGAAATGCTGTTTGTAATTTATTTTGAACATTGAGACTTGTTTGTTTTTGTGGGCATTTTTTATGATTATAATCTGATAATTGCTCTATTATATTGGTATGCAAAATAGCAGAAATCATTCTGCCTGTGCTGGTACTTTCAGCATAGACTTGACCACATTAATCAGTTCGGGAAAATACATGTTCTGAAAGTGGCCACGGTCAGTGAATCTGTACAATTTGGCTTCCAACCTGTCGGCCACTTCTTGTTGTTCCTTCCAGGGAAGGAAAGGATCATCAGTGGATGCAAACTGTACAATGTGAGTGCAGTTGGCTTTGATCTTCTCCCACTGCCAGGGGTGGCTGAAGTATCCTATGGGGAAAAATATATATAACCTGTCAGTGCTTATAGATAATTTCCATTCTAGACATTCTAAAATACCTAGTGAAGGCCATAGCGGAGACACAAAAATCAGAACCTAAGTGGTTTTCAAATCTCTAGGGCTTGATACCATAGGTACGTGTGAAGGAGAAGTATATGGCCCAAATAGAGCTCTAGGGTTCCTTTCTAGACTATGGATTAGAAATGGCCTATGGCCTCTCAAAGTGCCAAGCTTATATCTGAAGATGGGTAGTAAATATTTTTCATGTGCTATTTCATTTTTTTTAGACTATCTGAAAGACAATGCTGTTTTAGAACCTGAACAGCAGCACATGATTTTTTTATTTGCCTTTCTTTTTAAAATTAAAATACATTTGCTCTTCCTGTAACTATAGGAAGAGCTTTTTCTGGGGTTTCTGCCTTCAGACATACCACTTGCACGCTCATTTTCATCCCCCAAGTCTGATGTGTATGCGGACACTAATACAGTCGCATATACTCGATGGGTTTCTGCATACCTGGAAAGAGAGAAATGATGTCAGCTAATGTTTAATGTTAAGTCTGATCACCAAAAAGTCAGTTAACCACCTGAAAACTCATTTGGTTTAATTTACAGGAAGCACGTGCTATTGCTGTTGAAGTTAAAATGAAAAATAGTAAGGAAACTGCAGAATTACAAGCCTAGTGGATAATCACTTAACCATGGCTACTTGATAAGTTTCCACTCATTTTTTCAAGGTAATCACAACCTCCTCTGCAGTCCTTTCCAAATAAATATAAAAATATCATTTTCTATGATGTATGCATTAATGTACCTTTAATATACATCAACATGTAGATTTCCAGGCTCAGTCCCAGAGCATATATTCAGAAGGTTGGGATCGAAGCCAGGAATCTGCGTTTTAAGGCATGGCACCTCCCCCAACCCAACCATATTTTAAGGAACATTGTGCAATAGCAGAAATATGCCTCTTTTACTACACACCAAGTTGTCATTCAACCTGGCAAACATGGAATAAACCCAACCCTAACAGGCTTATTCAGCCAGCTAAGTCCCTAACCTCTGGGCCTCATAAGCCTAAAGAGAGAGATGTAATGATCTATGGAAAGCATCAGGGATATATGTCCATAAATCATAAGGACTGGGGCTTCAGGAGAGAAGGAGTAACAACTTCTAACTGCTAACAAATATTTATTGAGCACCTACCATGTGCCAGGCAGGCACTGAAGTTTCAGTGTCAGTGAACAAAGTCCACCCTCATGGACCTTACATTCTATTGGCAGAGGGCAGACAAGAAATAAACAGAACATCAGATGGTGAAGAGTGTTACAGATAATAAGGAGGATAATAAGGTTTAAAGGGAACAGGAGCCAGTGGGGTGAGGTTACTGTTTCACATGAAGTGATTAGAAGACCTCACTGAAACCCCCTGGCCATGTGTCTCGGTTGGAGCATCATCCTGATAGATCAAGGTTGTGGGTTTGGTCCCCATCAGGGCACATACAAGTGTCAACCAAATGAATGCATAAATAGATGAAACAACAAAAATTGATGTCTCTCATCAAGAAATAAAAATTTAAACAAAAAAAAAGGCCTCACTGAAAGGGGCCTAAAGAGGAGGAGAAAGCCATGCAAGTATCTAGGGACAGAATTCCAGATAGAACAAGAGCAAGTACAGGCCTAAGGTAGGTGTATACTTGGCATGTTAAGGAACTGCAATGAGGCCTATAAACCAGTACCAGTACTGGGGGCAGTAAAGGTAGAGATGACATCTGTGTTACTTGGGAGCCTTGAAGTCTGAGGTGTTTTTCTGAAGGGATGGTCAGCTGCTGGGGTTGGAGCCACTTATGTTTGAAAAATATCACTATCTCAGTGAAGGAAAAAAGAAAACTCCACTAACCAAACCAGAAAGATATTAGGACAAATTATGTTACCACTTTTGAGGTCAACACTGTTTCCTCTACAGTGGAAACCAGATATACACAAAGTATTTCCCAAACAAGTTTGGTTGGAACCCATACAGGGGGCGGTAATTCAGCAAGGATCACACCTCATGGCTGCAATGGCCCCAGAACTGTGGCCTATGATGATGGTCTTCTCGTCACAGTTCAGCTCCGTCTCCATGAAGGGAAGCCAGATGCTCTCTCGGGCTGTAACTAAGGTTCAGGGTAAACAAAGAATCTGTCATTTGATAGAGACAGCCTTAGTCTAATGCTGCTCACCTTTCTAATATATGACTACTCGGTAATTTACAACTTTAAAAAGTTCAGGACCACAATGGGAGATAGGGCCATTTTACTATAGCCAAAGATTTGCACGTTGCTATTTGAAAGAATCAAATCTGTAGTTTTGGTGTTACTTTTTTACTATTTTCTTTTAAGAAAATACTGAGGATATAATAAAAATAACTCTGAAGCTTTAAGATTTCCCACTTAAAATTAAAATAACAATATTGTTTCTCAAATTTGTACATCTTTTCAAATGGAAACACCTGAGACAAATCATAGCCAAACTCAGAACAAAAGTGGCACTGTTATATTTTTAAATACTAGGATTTTATAGATGCTATAAAGTATCCTATCTCTGCCTCAGCTGAAATACCCATAAATCCAGGCACCCATAAATCTAGGCACCCATAAAATGCCTGGAAATGTCTGTTGATTTATAGAAGGAAGAATCAATTGCTTGCAAAGTTGAAAATTAAGTTTTACTAAGTCTAAGTGCTTTTCTTGATCCTAACTAGAATTTTCTATAATTTGTTTTTTGATTCACCCTCTTCCCCAAGCTACTTGCCATCATTCATTCTTAGGTACATACTCTCTTTGGCTGCTCTACAATGATATTCCTGTTTTCTGCCAGGAAAATGCAAGATCAAAACCCAACAGGATGAGGCTATTTAAAAACACTTGTAATACTCACTTGGGTCAGGCATGTTTTTAGCCAAACACTGGAAACCAGGTATCTATGACATGGGGGGGAGGGGAGGAAGCTATAATAAACATGTTAATTACAATTAATACTTTGTAATAAGAAATGAGACACCACACTGGCCAGGTAACTCAGTTGATTAGAATGTCTGATACACCAAAGTTGTGGGTTCAGCCCCTGGTCAGGGGACATACAAGAATTAACCAATGAATGCATAAATAAGTGGAACAATAAATCCATGTTTCTTTCCCTCTTTCACCCTCCGTCTCTCACTCTCTCGTTCTCCCTCTACTCTTTTCCTTCCCCCGCCCCCTCCCTCCCTTCCTCTCCCTAAAAATCAGTACATATCCCTGCCTGATGTAGCTCAGTGGATTGAGTGATGGCCTGCGAACTGAAAAATGTCATTGGTTCAATTCCTGGTAAGAATACATGCCTGGGTTGCAGGCCAGCTCCTCAGTTGGGGACATGTGAGAGGCAACTAATGGATGTTTCTCTGTCACATCAATGTTTCTCTCCCTCTTTCTCTCTTCCCCTCTCTAAAAATCTTTTAAAAATAAAAATCAATAAAAAATGACACATAATATGATCTTTATTCCATAAGTGCTTGCTTATGTATGAAATGAAGAGGGTTAAACACTACAGGATTGAATATACAGACCCTGTCTGTAATTCCACATCTAGCCAGCTCTGTAGGTCTCTGTATAGAAAGACCTACATCTACAAGTGAACGTGTTCTAGACAGGCTGACCTGGAGCAAAACATACTGTGTGCCAGGGAGTAGGTAAAATATGGTACAGAAAGTTGTAGATCCCATCCTCTTGGACAGCTCCAGCTCTGACCTTTTTGGTTTGTACCTCTGGTCATGGTTTTTAGCAACAACTCAGGAATTTTATTCCAGAAACATACTCTAGAACTCTAATGGACAGCAACACAGGAAGCAATTCTATTGTGTGGTTATGGAACAGAGTTTTTAAAAAAATGGAGATGCACAAGACCACCTACAGTAGAATACCATTTGTATAAAGCTCACAAAGAAGCCAAATTAAACAGTATATTATTTAAAGGATATATACATAGGTCGCAAATGTATTTTAATTTTAAAAAGAAAGGCAAATAAAAAAATCAGAATGGCAGGGAAATAGGATGGAGGGGCACACAGATGGCTTCTGTTGGTAATGTTCTAGATTTTAGCGTGGTCATGGATTTTCAGGTATTGATTACATTAGAGTCATAATTTATATACATGTTACATATATCCTTTATATATATTATTACATGTTGTATTTTTTTAAAAATCTGAGACAAGGAACAAAGAAGAGAGCTGTAAAACTTATATAGAAAATCCCAAATCTGGACCAGTAGAAAGGGCGGGGAAGGAGGAGCAGGGTTGGGGGGGGTCTATCTCCGTAGTTATAAGAGGTGATGCCTTGTAATCTGAAGACTAAGACCAAGTCCTCGGGGCCATTTTATCAAAGTTCGGACCGCCAGTTTTAGACTTTAAGACAGGGCGGCAGAGAGGAATGAAACACAGGGCTTGGGGTTGGAGAAGAGCAGGGAGGCACAAGTTGGAACTTCCGTCCTCCATTTGTTCCGTCCCCTTCAGCTCCATGGTGATTTTCCAGCACAGCGAAGTGTGTCTCTTACCTGTTCCAGCGCCTTCTTCACCCAGCCATACCAGCCGTGGGTGGCCACATCCCCGCCTCCGTTCCCGGGCACGATTACAGCCTTGTTAGGGGAAGCCATGAACACAGAAGTGCCAGAGTAGCTGGGCAGTGCTTAGAACCCAGGAGTGAGTCTGATGGGGAGCCTGCATTGCGGCATCCTGGGAATTGTAGTTCTAGGGAGTCATAGGGCAGTTCATTCACGCTGGCCTTCCTTACCGCACAGGACAGTCAAAATCAAACCTTGTAAATTTCCATCTAATGTAAATCATCTTTCGCTTGCCTCTTACTAGTGCTCGCATTTCCCGCCCCCTGTTCCCGACCCGTAAGGGCAGGCTGTGACATGCCCAGAATGTGCTCTTTACTAGAAGTATTGATATTTCCATAGGAAAGTGTGTTTTTAGTTCCAAACATGCAGAACACAGCCCATTTATTAGTTGAGGATTCCTGGACTCCATATCATTTTTCCTTCTGATTTCAAAATAGCTCTTAGTATAATAGTCAATATCAGCCCTGGTTGTTATTTTTTATTACTTTGAACACTGTCCTTTAAAAGGTTTCAAGGTTCATGTAAGAGCATGTGGATAACAATACTTTAACTGATTTGGAGACTGGGGAAACTGAGATACCAATGAAATGGTTTACCTATTATAATGTGGCAGTCCTGAAATTTTAGGAACTGGTCGTATCTTATATATTCAAAACAAATTGAATTGAGGTGGGCAGAGTTTGTATTGTAAATGGGAATGAAGAGGAGAATACTTTTTATTCCTTGCCCCTCCCATGGACTTACTCAATGTGTACATCACTTGTGTATCAGCATCTGACACTGAGAAACACTCTTCAGCAGTTTATTTTTTGAACAGGCATAAGTAGGTGCTGAATGATACACTGCCCCACCACCACATTCTTTACAAAGAGCAAGACATAATTTTTCCTCTTGGACCTTAGACTCTAGATTTTCTTGAAAAGATCAATGTTATTTAACTTTAAATGTAAACCCATTCACATAAAAAAGAATGAACTACTGACACACACAACACCGTGGGTGAGTCTTAAAAGGATAATTGCCAAGTGAAAGATGCCAAACAAAAAAGAGTGGAATATGATTCCATTTATTTAAAACTCTAAAAAAATACAAGGAGGACAAGGAAACATTGTGGGGTGATATACACCTTCATCATCTTGATTGTGGTGGTGATAAAACTTAACAAATTGTATGCTTTAAATTTGTAGAGCTTATTGAATGCAATTATACCTCGAAAAAGCTGTTTAAAACTTAAAACTAAAACAGAGGCATTTCAGTAGCTAAGTGGTTGTTTGCTTAGTGATTTTTAATTCAAGAAACAGTGACAGGAACTTAACAGGAACTGCAGGCTGGAAAAAAATCTAGCCCTCCTTGAGGTTTAACATTTTTCTTTCTTCTCACTCATAGGGTGGTTAGCTCTTCCTTGAAGGAGAAAATTAAGGCAATGGCCTCAACTCTTACCTTTCTCTGATTGTTCTGTTTTTTAAGATTGTATTTATTTAGTTTTAAAGAGAGGAAAAGGGAGGGAAACATCAATGTGTAGTATCCTCTCGCATGCCCCCAAGTGGGCACCTGGCCTGCAACCCAGGCACGTGTCCTGACTGGGAATCAAATTAGTTACCATTTGGTTCACGGCTGGTACTCAATCCACTGAGCCACACCAGCCAGTGCTCTCCAGTTGTTTATATCTATAATGATTGTGGAGGTTATATAATTACACAGAAATCCACCTTTTCTACTTTATCTCTCTTTTACAAGCATTTTCTGAGCTTGTCATTATGAGACAAGAAATAGTTTGGTTTCAAAACATTTTTAGAATTTTAAAAAACCTGAGAATGCACAATTTATATTTGGGACCTCCTCTGTTAATATTGAAAGAGCTGTTCACAAGAATTTGCCATAAAAGTTTTATTTTTTCTAATGCATTCAGCCACCCACCTCTGAGGCCCTCCTTCTAAAAAAAAAAAAAAAATTCCTCTGCCTGACCTTTTCTTTTCAGGTCAGGATCTCTGCTATAGGCAGTTTTTACTAACCCTTTAAATTTGCTGTCCAAGCATTCTCCCCCTTCTACCTTTCCATTTTTTTCACATACTATTTTTTTAACCATCTTGAGAAGAAAAGGAAAGCTGCTTCAGAGTCTTAAAGGACACATAGGAGATAATTGGGAAATGAATAGAGATGAAGTGGTTGTTCTTAGCAGAGAGGAGGGGCACAGAGGCAAGACACAGCACAGGTGGGCTGGGAAAGAATCTATTCAGTGCTGTACGAATAAAGTATGTAGATCATACAGGCCTGTGAGTATGACAGTAAGGGAACTCTATTATTTGAGTTATGGTAAAAACTATGTAGAGATTTAAACAAAAGAATGGTAGAGTCAGATGTGTGATTTTGAAAAATCTGGCATCAAGTGTGAGATCTGGGTGTGGCAAAATTTGGTGGAGAGATCATTTGGGAGGCTGTGGCAATAATTCAATGAGCGAGGATGAAGGATCCCTCTCCTTTCCTGGAGTATGCCTGTGCCTTTTCCCTCTCCATCTTCTTCCCCCCTAGAATGTTACCATTGCTCTTCTCCCTAAATTCCAAGGGCACCCTTCTTTTGTCTTTGTAATTTGTTTCCCAAACCCACTTCCTCTATGGCTCACTTCTTCTAGCTCTATTCCTTTCTAAATAAACTTTTGCTTATAGTTTGAGTCTTGACTCTGAATTCTTTCTCAGCCAGAACTCAAGCACTGTGTTTGCTGAGCTGGGGACTGATTTGACTCCACCAGTCTAACACCTGATGTCATTTTCGTTCTTGCTGCCAACATTATGGTGCCATGACTCGGACTGTTAAAGAGGGGGAGGGGAGAAGATGAAGGCCTGAACTAAGTAGGTAAATTGAGAAATATTTAGAATAACAGATCAAGAGAGCCAAGTGATTCATTGTTAGTTTCAGGGGTGGGAATTAGAAATGTAGGGGGATATATAAATTTATTTAATATAAATTATATGACATGGGAGTCTTCAAAAGGAAATGAAGACCCAAAGAAGCATTTAAACCTAATTGTTTCTGTGCTAAGTTTGATGATGTATGGAAAGTCATGGGGAAATGTGATAGGACAAAAGGATATGACCAGTTTAAGTAGTAAACTGGGGGAAACTTGGCAAGGTCTGTTCACTGTGATTCACCTTCAGAGGAAAGAGTGCTTGTTATTCCTGGTAAAGGGAAGGAACTTTTAACATGAAGGTCTTAGGACCTGCTTTAGGGGAGAGAGGGGAGGTCAGAGTCCTTCCTTGAATCATTTTTCAAATTCCTTCAGGTTAAAATATTCAATATGCGAAGGTGTCATATTTTGGGGTAGTGGCCTGAACCCTGTCAGAGGAGGGGCTAAGGATAACTCTAGTTTCCAGGATGAGTAACTGAGAGAAGAATGGTATCCCCAAATGAAGTAGAAAGTACAAGAGACAGAAGGTTAGTTTAGGAGCAAGGGGAAATATGAATTCAGTCTAGGATATAATGAGATTGAGATGCCCAACAATATCCAGTGATATCCAGCATGTTGTTGAATATATGAATCTAATGTTAGAGAAGTAATAATCCAAAAATAGAGAATGTATGTTATACATACTGAATCATATTTCAGGAAGATTTTGAAATAGTCAAAAGAGAACTTTCTATGGAATGCTGGACATTTTTAAAGGACCCTCTGGAGTCATCTGATCATAAGAGACATGTGACTTTGACTAAACAATTTTACAACTCTGTAGAGATAGAAATTAACTTACTGAAAATGGATAATAATACAAATGGTAATAATGTAAATGATTCCCATTCACAGTAATGAATTTTGCATGGTAGAAAATATGTCTATAAACCAAATTTTTCTTTGAATCAATCTGAATATCCCTACTGGTTCTCTTAGTAATGAATAAGTTATGTAGAATCTTTGATACATTCTCATCTTACATTTATAGAAGGGCCATATTTTACCTTTTTGAAACTTTCTTTAACAATTTTGGAGGTTTAACCAACATCCCAATGGGTTCACCTGACAAAACCAGGGAAATCATATTGCTGAAGAACATGAAAACAGGTTAGTACATTCTTAAAGGAGTTCTGACTGATTGGCTTATGGAGATGAATACACACATAAATAACCTATTCCTAAAATTCCCAGAAAATAAGGAAATTAAACTTCTAAAACTTTAAATGTGTTAGATTAAAAAAAATCCTTCTCACAGAAATTTCTAGTACAGAAAAAAATCTAGGTTCAAATAAAGCAGATCTTTGCCATATTGTATTTTGTTTGGTTAAAAAAACACATCTATATCTTTTCTCAATGTAAAGTATAATACAAATACGCATTTTATTTGAGTTTGGTTCCTTACTAACAGAATAAATTTGAACTTTCTAAATATATACAAGTGTAATGATAAAAGGATCTAATATTACTCTTACATAATGTTTTTAGGAAGATGAAACATGCAAATTCACTCAACAAAACTGAATAATTATTCTGACAAACTATTTTTTTTAAATCCTCAATTGAGGACACGTTTTCATTGCTTTTAGAGAGAGGGGGAAACATCCAGGGATTGTAGGCACCCAGACCAGGAATTGAACCTGCAGCCTAGGTATGTGCCCTGATGAACAATCAAACCTTTTGGTCAAGGGACAATGCTCCAACCAACTGAGCCACACCAGCTAGGACTTGACAAACTTTTTATATTAACAATAATTGTTTCATAGTACATTGATGTAAATGAATTTCTATGATGTGTAATTTAAATGTCTGTACTAATGCTAAATTGAGCTAATTCATCTTAATTCTCAGATGCCTAGATAAGTTCTAAACATTTTAAGTTTATATAGGTTTTTGTTTATTTTTATATGCTACAGAGAGATTATATCTCTGGGTCAGATTAATAAACAATCTAATTTTTGCCATTTATAAAAAGTGGTGAACTTGAGTTTCTGGCCAAGATGGAGGTGTAGGTAGACATGCTTTACCTCCTCACACAACCATAAGAAGGATCACCACGAACTTCAAAACAAAATACAAACAGAACTGCCAGAAAGTCAAAC